TGGTCTGCAACAGAGCGCTAACATTAGGCTCCTGTATGAATGACACACACAGAAGACGCAACATGATGCAATTTATTTGGAATCGAGGCAATTTAGTACTGCTACTCAAAGACTCAAAAGGCACCCAGCTGCGAGACGTGGAGACGTCAGTAAAGATTCAACTTTATGGATACGTCCTCTGGCCTGTCAGACCAAAAACTTGGCGACAACCAGTCACGCTCATTTCGCTTCTCTTGTGAACCTGAAGCACATATTTGTTATCAACTCCACTCAACTACATAAAAGTGGTTAAAAGCTGATTGTCGAGATCAACAACATTGATATGAGCTAACAGGACCTGAATAAGAAAAACTGTTTGTGGGAACTTAACTTCATTGTGTGGCAGTAAAGAGGCAATGTGAGAAAATGACTGCCCATTTAGAGCTGAGTGAACAAAATTATGGACATGCTCCATAGAGTGTGTGCGAATGCATCATTACTGTGCGTCTCATTACATAAAGGGCACATTATTTCTTGCATTGGTACCCAATGTTGGCAATATACATAGATAATGTTTGCCTGAAAGAGTCGCCCAATATTAGGACCAGTGTGTAGGATATAGTGGCATCAAGCAGCGAAGTTGCAGATTGCAACTAACTGAACACCACTTGTGTCTGTATTTGATGACTAACTATGGTGGTAGCGAGATGCCATATCTACAGCCAGTGTTTGGTTTGTCCGTTCTGGGCTACTGTAGACATAACGGTGGTTCAACATGGCGGACTCCATGGTAGGCAACCCACAAAATCTGTAGATAAAAACAGCTCATTGTAAGGTAATGATAAAACACAACAACTACTATATTATGATTATGATTATCACTAATAAAAACATTAATATTATATTTCAATTCTGCCAATAGATCCTCCTAAATGTTACACACTGGACCTTTAATGTAATTTGTAGGAATACTGGGATGAAAACACTGTTATTATTTTCCCTCTAAAATACTTTTTTACAGTCACAATTGTCTCCATTCGGATTTTGTTCAAACTTAGGCTGCACTAAGCTTCCACTGTGTGAACACATGCCTCTGCTGATTGGTAAGATGTTCTGTAGCAGACTTATTCTGCATTTAAGTCTTTATCAGTTGCTTTAAGCTGAGTGTTAAACAAAGGGCTGCTCTTAGGGGTTTGTTCAACCGACCTGCAGCTGACCTACGCCTGCTCCCCCCACTAACACTCTCAGCACAAATCCTCATGGCATGCTTTACCCTGGACCCTGCCGGGATGCAGTGATTTGTGTCGTGTCTGGGATGCATTCCCACCTGCCTGTCATTGGTCAATCAGGGATTGACCCACCATCCTTTTGACCAGTTACAGACCATTCCTGCAGACAGTTGCAGATCTGGGATAAGATCAACAAGTCAAACCCAGCTGTGCTCTGCGTTGTTTTATCTGTCTTCGCCTCACTGTTTGTTATGCTGTTGTTAACTATTTTCTACTTCTTTGTGAACCTTTAATGTTTTCTTCTTCTCTCCTCCTCTGACTCACTCGCTCTTTATTGAAAACATGAGCGAGTAATCTTTCATTAGGACGACAGAACACAAACTGCATGCATGCATGCCCTGGAGGGGGTTGTAAGTAACAGGCAGGCATTCTGAAAACATTCTTTTCTGGTAATAAAGTCCCCGTAAATTAAAACCACTTGCTGTTTTGCTCCCAAAAATAAGTCGGGGAAGGAATGCGACTCCTCAGCTGAAAATACAACTGCCGACAAATGTTTCCCCCTTGAATCGGAACAAAGCATATTAATAAAAGCAGAAACAACAGCTACGCACTAAGATCAAGAAAGCAGGTGTAAAATATAGAAACAAATAATATTTTTTGTGAAATCATGTCCACTTGAGGTTGTATTTTTCTGTTTTTCCATCCCCCTCTTCCCTCTCTCTCCTTGGCACATTGCTGACACAGTACAGCCCAAGCACAGACCCTGAAGGCCCGCGATGACAATTACTCCCTCTCCACTTCTCTCCCTGAGTATATAGGTTTGCACTGAATAAACTTCCAGTATGGACACAGGAAGTGGTTCAGCAACTTCTCAGGTTTGGACACACTCTCAGTGGAATAATAGACCTCTCGTGGAAAGCAGATGTCAGAATGAGTCAAGGATCTCATTTCTCTCCGCACATACGAGAAGCAGGACAACATGTTTCTCTGCCAGTATACAAGTATGTGTGGAAGCTACAGACAGATGACAAATGAAAGGAATGGTTCAACATTTTGGAAAATACTCCTCTATTATTCACTCCGTTTCTTGCTGGAAGTGAAATGAAAAGATTGATACCACTCTCATGACTGTGAGTTTAATTCGGAGTTGGAGGTGATTAGCTTAGCTTAGCATTAAACAGCTAGCATGGGTCTGTCTAAAGTTCAAGAATACGTCTGCTAGCACATCTAAGCGCACTAATTGTAATATTATTTCATCTTGTTTATTTCATCTATACACAAACAGAGTTCAAAGTAAGGAAGTAAATAGGTCAGTAAGTAAAATGTATTTATATAGACCTTTTCACAGACATATTTCACAAAATATACAGCATTAAATATTTAAGGTTTAGTGGTTTTACATGTTTACTATTTTGGGGTAACCAACAGCCAGATATACTGACTTCCAACAGTCTAGACATTGCAATTGCTTATCAGGAAATAACTACACCAGGATAACCATTTCTTTCTGCTTCCAGTGTTTATGCTAAGCTAAGCATTTCACATTTAATGCACAAAGATGAGATCGGTATCAATCTTCTCATCTGACTGACATCTAAGGGAATAAGCATATTTCCTAAAATGTCAAAGAAACCATGATTAAATTAATGAAAACACAACAAATCTGCTTCCATACAGGACACAATGGGTCACAGATATGTTTTGATGGGTATGAAAATAATGTGAATCATATGTTCTGACCTTCACAGTAACCTGATCTCAAAGGTCTTGGAGCCTCTTCAAGACCTCTTTGTGAAGTCTCCTTACCACCAACATCAAAACACCAAATGAGGGAATATTTTTTGGATTAATGGTTTTTCATTCCTGCAGGTCAGAAACTTTGCCAAGGAGCTCTAAAGCTGCTGTTTTTGTGCAGTTTTGCATTTGTATTGCCAGTTCCTGTTGTGTTATTTGAGAAGTTTCTATGGACATTTTGATACGTTTTGACATAGTTTAAGCCACAGCCAGTGAGTGTTTGATACTCAAAACTACATTTGTTTTCTTCAACCTTTGCTCCTGTACAGCTGCTTAGTAACTACAGGTCAAGTAGCTGAGTAGAATGTACAGATGTTACGAATAAATAATATGCTCTGTAAATCTTGTCTGAATGTCACACATATTCTTTCAAAAATCCAAACTCTCCTTGTAAAGAAAGTTGAAACAACACATGCACATTCAGCGGTTAGGCAGTAAGACGTGTGTATATGTGTAAATTGATTGTGATGACACACAATGTGGACTCCTACTGCACCCACACTTCTTGACATACGACTGCTGAGTGCTCGGATGACACACATTCTCTACAACACCTCTTAAACCAGGGGGGATCACAGTGACCATTTCAACCCAAAGTGTTGAAACTTGATCTCTGTTCTGGGACAGAAGCAGGAGAAAGTTATCGGGAGACACTAATACATCACACACGAGTTATGGTTCTTCACAGCTACGAGGTTAAAGAGAGAGAAAAAGATATAGCTGCAAGCAGCAAATAATGGTGTCTAGGAGCAGTGGGACACACTTATTTAAACAAATGGTTGGTGTATAATACGTAAAAAAAAAGAAAAGTATTTGTGTTCCTGAATGACACTTGGTGCTATATGTGAGTCAAAAGACCAAGAGACTGCTACAACACAAAACACAAAAGCTATTCAAAACTACAGAAAGTGGTTCTTTCTATTGTCACATCCTTTCAGAAGTTACATAACTTCTTATTCTACCTTTGATGGATCAAGGGTCTAAATGTAAAATGTTCTGTTGTAACTCTCCAGGACTATTATATATAGGCAATATTAACACTTATGTAAGGACCACATTCGAGGAAACTTGGGCACAGAGATGAAAAGAAAGTTGATTATTGGCTAATGGCAGCTATCTTTTTGAACAACCATTAAGACAATATCAACCACCAATGCATTCAAAAGAGAGATACTTTTTTGTTAATTTAGTCTATACAATAAGTTCTCAGGTATTGGTACATTTAAAAACATTTTATTTGTGTACATATCCCAGAGGCGCCTTAATGCAAATGATCAATATTCTAAATGGAAAGTTACACTTTCCCTGAATAACCACTGATGCTGAAATCTAATAGTCTTTTCAGCCCAGTTTAATATCTGAGGGAAAAAAACCTTGGGTTTTCCACAGTAGGTTTTGCATATTTTGCTAAAATCTTTCTCAGAGGAAATGACTGTGGCTCGTGTCAGAAGATCCACTTGAACTCAAGGAATGTGTTAATGCAACATTTTTGAATGTGCTACACACAACTGGGGAGGCACCAACATCAGGCCAATGGGTAGAATTGTTAGTGCCAGATGAGTGGGTGAGATTGTGAACCTGAGAGCCAGATACATTGGGCTAGATCAGCAGACTCACTTTGAGGCTGATTTTTTGGTTTTAGACCAGGTTATTATGTGCAGTTTTGTGCCAGTGAAACACAAGGACACTGAGATGCTGATAAGGTTGCAAAGTCAGTCAGGAACACCCAGGACGCTGTGGTTTCCCTTTCCACTGAAGCCCACTGCTGTTATAACAGAGAAATAAAAAATGAAAGCATGAGCCAAAAATAAGTTAGTTTCTGGGAATGGAGGTGTGGCCTTTTAACCTTGTGGGTGGATTACAGCCAAGAAAAATACTATATTTAAAGTAAATACTCATTTGCAAAATTGACATCACAGATGTGTCATGAGGGATATGAACCAGTGGAGGTGGTCCTTTAAGTTCACAGCTAGAAGTCAAGAAGTCATTGATACTTACCAAACCTCTTATAACCAAAGGACTGCACCTCCTCCTCATCAGCAAAGTCGTCTGGAGGGAGAACACAGAAATAAATGAATTAATTGGGAATTAAAGATATATAGAGCAATTGAAATAGTTATAATGCAGTTAAACCGTAAAACTGAGAGACTGGGACATTAACTTTATTAAATTACATAAGCATCCAAATGATTAACATTCTTGGAAAAAAACACCAGAAGGTCCACGTACAAACATTTTTTTGGAGCTCTCGTAGTCTTCATTGGCAGATAGTTTGCTGAATTTTCTGCAAACTCAGCAACCTTTCCTGTTGATGAAGACTATGAAATGTGGCTGAAAGCTCCATTAAGAAGCTGGTAAGTGGACCGTGAGCTATTTTTGTCAACAGAATGAACTTCCACAATTCCTTTTTTTCCCCCATGCCTGTGTTTCAGTCCACTAAAGCCATTTGTGCATTGCTTCATATTAAATAAATAAAAAATACAACTTTTCTCACTCAGATTAGCTCAACTCTTTTAAGTAAACCCGCTTTTTTCTTTCACTTAGTGGGTTTACTCCCATCTCCCATGGCCTGGCAGGCCACGAGTGTCGTCTTACGCCTGTGGGAAAGTACTTTGCCAACTTCAAAGCTTTTTTTTGTGTGTCATCATCCATGGCCAGTCAAAATAAAGAAACACCACATGTCCCGAGGAGATAAGAAGCTTAGAAAAAAAGATCTCTTCATCTGTAATACCAAAAGCGGAGGTGTGGCGATATGAGAGCAATGTCTGTCCATCAGAGAAGTACAGAATGGCTAATTATATTGTCTTTTTCAGGGTGTATTGTATGTCTCTTCCTGAGTTTAACATGTAGTCTGGGAATGTTCATGAATTACTGTTCTGTGGCTTAAAACAGAAAGAAAACCCTGTGATTTTGGAGCAGACATCTCATGACTGAGAGCAGAGTGAGTTAAGAGGTGACAAGAATGATGTAAACAGTACTGAAACCACATCTTACTTGAGGAATTTGCCTTTACTGATACCCCAAATACTCATTTCCTGTTTGTGTTTCCAAGTAACATTAATGTGTCCCATTACAATGGTAATGTTACCATAAGTATGTCTGGATTTTGCAAGAGCAATTCTGGGAAATGGAGTTCATCACAAGAGGGTTGAAAGTTGAGAGGATCTGAAAATGAGTCCAGTTCAGTGTAATTTGGATTTTAATATGAATATTGCTGTATGGATACATAAATAATGAGAAAAGCAACGATTTGGTGGTTCTGCAGGTAAAATATATATTTATAGGTAATATAATATGTAGGCATCTTGGTTAAAACTTGTTTATGTTTATTTAGGGACCGCCTCTGAGTATTTTCCATTATTTTTAGGTCTAGTTAAGTCTTCATAGCCAGTCAAACTGGGATCACTATAAATTACAATCAATAAAAAGCCAATTGATTTCCTTGTTGTTCCAACTTTCCAAAAATTTGATAAAAGTTTCAAGAAAAAAAATACTCCTCCTTTTGCTGGGGACCCCCTACTACCCAATCATTGACCCCTGTTGGTCCCCCTGGATCCAAGTTTGGAAACCACCGACTTAGACCTCTTTTGGATTTCAAATCACAAACAGAAGTACTCACTGGGATTAACAGCATACTACAATATATCAATATTTTTATGAAAATTACCACCGACTATTTCCTGCATCCTGACACATGTTAGTGTTTGTCCTTGTAGTGGCTATTTATCAAAATCAGATTGCTTCATGCAGATTCTGACAGTTTGATTGACTTATTCTTCTTGAATGTGCTTTTAGTTGCATCTCCACAAAAAACAGAAAAACCAAGATGATGTCTTTGTTATTTGTTTGCTTGATTTCTATGAAAGGTATAACAATTTTGCAAATGGAAATAGGTTGACAAAAAAACCCTATCAAGTCCAAAGTTACTTGGTTTGTCTTATAAACCTAAACAGCCAAATTCTTAAAAAAACAAATAATAGTTCCCACTATTGTCATCTAAAAACAACAACATGATGTCGTTCATGTTAAGTCCCATCCCTCTCACTGCAGTTACAGTAGCAGCAAGAAGTCACCAATATGCCAGTCACATGCCAGACTTACTGTGAGAGCAGAGAGCTGTTTACATTCATGCCCACAATGCGGAGCTTTGTGTCAGTATTCTAAGATGGACCACAAGGTGGCAGGAGTCGTGTAATGTTTATACAGTGTAACAAGGAATCAGCTCCTTGACCTATTAAGTGCCTTTGTAAGTGGGTGAGAAAAACATGCGTGATGTGAATTTAGAAAGATCCAAAACAGGTCGCCACATGAGGATCACATCTGGGGCAAACTTTACACAAACCTTTATTTAAAATGATGAGTTGCTACCCACTGACCGCCATGACTCATGCACATTCTTTTGGGTCTGTTATATTTTATGTAATGTGTTGAGAGCAGCAAAGTCATTGAATTTATGGCTCCAGGGGGGTGAATGCAGGACGCGCGCTGTTCATGCTGCACATGTACGGGGACTTAAGCCTGAATCAGTATTTCCTTCTGTGCTGCTGGTTTCTTTTAAGCCAAGACAAACTTTAGATCCAACACATACGAGCAGAACATAAACATGAAAAGAAAAGCCATTTTTAAAAAAGGCACAAACATTTTAATATTTAAAGCCAAAGTCACTAAAACTTACTCTTAGTGAAGCTATAAACATGTTTTGTTTTTGTTTTTTTGGCTGTGTTTAGGTTAGTGTTTGATGTGCAGCAGCGACCAGATGCAGAAAAAAACTTCCCAAACAGAGTCCCCTAACTGAAACCAGATGTCAGACGCGAGTTGTAGCCCACGCATTCCTCGCGCCTCAGACTGAGAGAAAAAGAGGCAGAAAAAGTGACAAAGAAAGCGACGAGAGGAGCAGAAAATAGATGAAATGATCATCAGTGACACTGCGGCGTGCGCTCCACATCAGTTCTGTCTAATTCATGAGCCTACCTTTCATTGTGGTTTACAGGACGCTACCGTTGTGAAGCTGTTGTCTGGAGTTACATCCACAGCATCGCAATGGCATTTGCCCAAAAGCTCCCTTTGAGCGCACGGCACCTTGGATCTGCGAGTATCCCACAATCCACTGGTTTTGGGGTTTTTTTTTTTGGAGGGGGGGTAGTAAGAAATAACCACTCAAAGCTCCATCCGTGACTCTTCAGGTGTAGTGAGGATCTCCCACAGCGCAGGTAACTTCAGTCGCACCTCAGATGCTGCAGCAAAAAGATGGATGAACTTTGTTGGAAGTAGGGAATGCGTGTGGAAGTTACAGGAGCAAGAGAAAAAAAAACAATCTTATTGTTTATGTGGCAGTTTTTAAAAGATGCCGAGGTGAGGGTGAATCCAAGTCCAGCTCAGCACTCCGGTGGTACCCGCAGCAGTAACCGGAGAAACTCAAGAAGTGTAAATGTCCAAACGTGAGAGGAAGTGGTGCGCCCGTAGGGCTGCTTGGAGAAACCACGTGTTCCCACATCTGTGCGCACCGTCTGCACCCCTGGTTTGCTGTGTGTGTGTGTGTGTGTGTGTGTGTGTGTGTGTGGGTGCGTGTGTGTGTGCGCGCGCAGAACTACGCTAAATAAGCACTAGTAACAGTGTGGGTTTGGACTTGTAAGTATGCCATTGTACGACAAAGCTACCAATAACAGGCATAACAAACAGTTTCCAGCTACTTGAGCAACATGTGGGGTTGTGGATGTCAAAATAAAAGCACTCGTTTGTTGCGTTTTGTCCACATTCCCATTACAGACATTTCTTTCACTAGAATCAAAGCCACTATCTTGTAAATGTAGGATTAACTGTGATGACATTATTTTTCATACTGAATAGAGAGAAAAGACGTTTAGTCATTCTACAAAACTACATGTTTCCTCCATTTAGATTTTATTTTATTTTGAAAAGATTGGCAGGGTTTGTTGGGTTAGAAAAGCTGTGAGTTATTGCAAAAGAAAAGAAAACTAAGAGTAAAAATGAGCTAAAAGGTGACTGTCTTGGCTATATACAAAGTAGGGTATTCTTATATTGAAATTTGTCTAACTTAAAGTTGAATTACAAATATATGACTGTCTAAAACTACTTGCACTCTTGCACAACATGCCAAAATTAATGAAGTTCTTGGCCTGTTTCACATCCATCAGACACGGAGCAACATTAACTTTCATATGGAGGCTTGTTTCTGGCCACCAAGTGAATAAAAGTCCAATACTCATGCTCTTTTAGCTCTGTTTTTGGTCTCTTCCAGCTGCTGAAGGATCTGGCTCTTAGGCTGATAAGAGCAGTGGGAGTGAGCAGAAACAAAGAGCTGAAAGATGCTTCAACTCCCACCTTTCACACACACCTTTACATAGAATCATTTGATCAATTGTTAATATAAAAATATTATATAATATATTATAGCAGTTTTAAATTATACAAATGAAGTGTGATCACATTTTCCATGTGTCCCATAAAGTCCCAAATATATTTACTCTTGACATCTGCTGTTATTTAACCATGAAGTTTAAGAGTTTCACACACGCAGTTGCGTGCCCATTGTTGTATTTTAGACTGAGGAAATATCTGCTGCATGTTCCACTTTGAGCTTTTTTGTTGAACAAGCTAAATTAAGACATCATTTACACCAATCCTGTTCCCCTCAAACAAAACTCAACACAGCTGTGAGACCTGTTGGTTCCCAGTCTTTAACTGTTTCATCCATTACTTCAGGTCTCTGTAAAGTTTATCCCCTGCACCTGTTTATCTCTTCAGTTCAGGACTCCTCCATGCTTTGATCAGTACCATAAGCCCACGTTGTGAGCTGGTTATATGGACCTCCTGCTACACCTTGAAGTTTATAAGAACTCTCCAAAAACTCAAAAGTTCCCTTATTGGTCTCTTAGAGGTCTATCAAATTAACAAAAAAAATTGTCTCAACTTGTGCAAAATGTTTACTGTGATTTACATTTATTCCTATGAGTGATTGCGTGCACGTAGCCTTAAAAACCTTTTATGTGGAACTGTTTATGGGTCGACCACGGGATGACAAGAACGATTCTTCCTGCGGTGTTATAGGAACCAGGTGTTGAAGGTGTCAGGGAGGCGGCCGACTGAGCTGAAGCACTGGCTGTTTTTGATTATCCAGTGTGGACCCTATTTTCTGGGTCACAGCATACAAAGAGGGCACATTTTTGAGGTAGATGGGGCACCAGTGAAGAGATGGGGACAGAGGAACCCTTTCACCCCCAATCCCTCACATTCCATCCCGAGTGGAGATACTAAACGGCTTCCTACTGAGAGGCATGTTTCCTTTTTACTAAAAATACTCTGGATTCACATCTGGATATAGACCCAAGAATAGCTGGTGGTAGTGTATACATGATTTTACTTATCACTTCAAATAAAGTTAAAAAATAAAATAAGGGCATGTGTATATTATGTGAATATGTGGTCATGTATTTACAGTAGCCTACGTGTTAAAGCAGTTACCGCTCTTATGAGATCAGCACATGGATCAGGTCCAGCTAAACACTCTCTGATCATGTGATTTCTTGTTTCTTCTCTTCTTAAGTAGTAGATTATAATAATCCCACACTGACAAATTCCTTAATTAATCAAACTGCATCCTAAACTTTGGGTTTTGAGCCATAAGCAAGTTATAATGTGCTTTTCACCAAATGTAGGGCCACTGTGTAGTTTTTGTACATGAACAAAATAATCGTTGGTATAATTTAGGTATCTGTACTTTACTTGAGTATTTTTATACAAATATCTGTACTTCCTACTCCTATACTTTACTCTAATTTTAATGCATGAGGGGAATTAATTTATTTCACTTTTTTCCCCCATCATTGCACACCTTCCCAATATTAAAACTGGTGCATATAAGATATGACAAAAAGAACATAAAAGACATTGCAAGAGGAAGATCCGAGATCCTTCAGAGAAACAGAGAGAGTACTTCTTACTTCTATACTCTGAGTACATTTCAGAGCCTGTTCTTTTTCACTTTTACTTGAGTAAAGAAGTTAATTCAGTACTTTTACCAGTATTTTTTGTACTTTTGCCTTTTCCGGCACTAAGTGTCCTTAATGGCTCCTGCAACTTGATGCTGTCGGATTGGCATTAATAGCATTAGTTGATTAAGGGAATTAAATTTATGAACATTTCCAAAACATCCGGCACAAAGTAAATAGCTGTTTTACCAGGTTGAATCAATACTTTTCTTAAAATTATGTTAAAACTGAAATATTTTTGGCAGAAATCTTAACTTGTTGTATTGATATGACAAATACTTCTCTGCTCTGCAAATAAAAGACAATATGACATCAACTTGCAACTGAACCTTTCTGTATTTTAATCCAGTGATAGATTGTCTGATGTTCGGAATTATTCTGAGTGGCACACTCATGTGGGAGCTATGTTGCCACATTTGAAAGGAATACACTTTTCCTATGTGTAAACAGTAGCCTGTGTCTGACATGACTAAGCAACCTCTTATGCAAAACAAGCTTGTTGAATGCTGGATTAACGGGCATCAACATCACGCAAAGACTGTAATGGGATAAAGCTGGGGTGGAAAGAGCACAAATAGACTTGGTCAGGTCAAGATAACTTCACGACTGCTGCCCACACAGGGCAGTTTGTTTATTCCTGCCAGTGGAGAAGCACCTACAGTCATCTACTGGTAAGTTTCTTTGTTTTGATGGTCACTTATGGCTATTTTTGGGGTCTTTTTTGATGAGTCGTAACCTTGCATTTTGTATTCCACTTTAGTTGAGTTTAATATTTTGTTTGTATCATGATATATTTGTCAGGATAGGATATTTTTATTGTGAATCTTAGTTTGATAAATTCACAAAAATGGTGTCATTTAAACTGCTCATTATGTTTGCTTGCTACTTTAACGTGATACTGAAGATAAAGATGGTTTACTGCAGCATCAGTGTCATCACTCTGTGCCTCTTTAAATGTATTTAAAACTCAAAATTATACAATAATGTGTAGATTCTATTTATAGTTCTTACACTAGGAACAAGAGCTAGATATGTTGTGAGGAGGATATAATAGAGCTGACTGTACCAGCAACTTAAACCCATAATGAAATAAGTCATGGCAGTACATCCTCATTTACTGTAAATCCCTGCTGGATGCCAATTTGTGTATCTCCTCTGGGGCCAGGGTCTCCAGTAAAGTGAGGCAGGTGAGTTAAGCTTGTTGACTGGTTCCCAATTTAAAACAAGTTATGATATCAGAAGCCTTTCATGGTTTCTTGTCCGCTTTTGTGACTCGATGGAGCCTGACCTCCTGACACAGCAGATGGTTCAGACATAAACACAGCCTGCCAAGTTTTCAAGCTGAGGTGAGCCCCATGATGTATCTTATTAGGTGTCTCACCCGGTACTGTTGACCTCCTAATGGTATCGCTTAAAGTCAAGCTGTTACCAGCCAGTCTAATGAATAACAGTACACAAACGTCCACAGAAGAAGGAAAGAGGGACATCTTTTACAGTATTATTAAAGCAATACAAACATATGGAAATGTAGTACAACACATAGGACAGAAACTTATTCAAACATGGAAGAAAAGTGATCTGTAAGTAAATGCTCCAACTGTCTAAATATTCACCTCAGAACCCCTTTACGTGACAAAAAGGGGTTCAGGTCAACATCTGATTATATGATATCTAGATTTTATCTATTACCAGTATTACCGCACATTAACTATTAAACGATTTGTTGAAAGACATATTAGTAGTCTGACTTAACTAGAAATAACTGACCCTGGCCAATAGGGACATATGACTGTAGTTGTTTTTAGGTCCAGACAGACGTGTAGCACCACCAAGTGGCAGACCTGCTCATGCCCACAGTATTGTTGATGTTTAATCATGCTCAAGCTCAAATCCTATTAGCTTTCTGGATCAGACTAGATAGCACCTGCTGTTTTAGTTTCCCTATTTAAACAAATTGTGTGTACGTGTGAACTTGCATTGTATTGGTGCTTCTGTGTGATCATATGGTAAATGTGTTCATCCGACAGTGTGAAAATGGGATTCTGTACCAGTCATAACCACACTTGTCATGTCCTTTCAGACTGAGTTTTGTCTTCTAAGACACAGACTGAGCTCAAGAATGAAGCTCCTGCTCGGTTTGGCTGTCCTGGCGGTGACACTGGGGGTCCTTTACTCTGCTCCAGATGACAAACCCCCAGGCGTCTCGGAGGACACGTTAAAACGTGAGTAAACACAGAGAAATCTAAACGTATCTTTATTTTTTACTTAAGGGAACATGTACAGTGTTTTGCACCAGTTAGTTAAAAGTTAAAGTTTAATGTCTGTGTCTTCTGATATATATAGTAAATGCAGTGGCATATAATCACTCATTTTATAGACTTTATTCAACTGTTGTTGATTGTTTCATTTAATTCACTTTAGATGTATGTCTTTGTTCGGTGCTATACAAATAAAATTGCAGTATTTTTGAAGAGTCAATAATTGTGCTACATTTTCTGTTTTGACTGTGAAAAATATAATAATGTGTTTATAAAAACATCTCATCCTGGGGTTATTTTCCTCCTTCTCTGTCTCAGAGTTGTCAATCGATGGCGAGAAACTCGTGGATGAGGAGGTGAGGAGAGCTCTGTATGGAGTGAAGCAGATGAAGGAGGTGATGTGGAGGAATGGGCAGAAGCATGAACACCTCATGAAGTCCCTCCAACACAGCAGTGAGAAGAAGAATGTAAGACCAATGTTAAACTCTCCCATGCAAGGAAGAGAACAAAGAGAAAAGCAAGCAAATATAAAAGTTTCCCCTTTCTGCCACTAGGGGGCATCCCAACTGGCAAAGGAGGTGACTGAGAAGCTGGAGGAGGCAGAGGAGCAGTGCAAAGACTCCCTGCAGTCTGAGTGGGAGGAGTGCAGACCCTGTCTGGAGGATGCATGTAAAACCTTCTACACCTCCACCTGCCGCAGGGGATTTGCCACTTTTCATGCCAAGGTATGAAAACTATCTTCAATCTCTGCCTTTCTTACTCTAACCTTCAAACTCTTGTAGCAACATTACCAAAAATAACAAAACTATATAATCAACTGTCAGTTGAAATGCATTGCATGCATTTTCTTTTAGACCAATGGTTCCCAAGCTGTGTCTTGTTTTGACCCCCCATGACAGGCCAGGCATGCAGGCGGTGGATATAAAGAAATATCAATAGGGTGTATGCTGATTTAATTACAAATGTAATCACACATATTATTTAGATATAACTCAAAAACATCACCTACTTTATTGTGGCACATCAGTAAAGCATTGAACAGTCATAGCTAAAGGTGGTATTAGAAATCAATAAACTGCTTTATTTCCATTTTTCCAAATACATGTCTTTTCTTCATTAAACTTTTGAATTGAAGCGTATTACTTAATCTAAAATGTGGCCCACAGCAGATCATTAAATTATATGTTAATGTCCGTTGTTTAAAAATAAAATTAATCTAAAGTAATGTGTTAAATTTGACAGTATTTGACACCAAACTGGGGTCTTTTTAGGGTTGGCAGCTGCCCCCCCATGCCACCTCTCTAGATTCTCCCGCAGGCCTATGAGTTGTGAGTTTTAATTCATTTGAACACTTTTGGAGGTCTGGAGAGGCAGAAGTATTTATTATTTAAAAAAGTTTAACACCATTCCGTAAAAGGTTAAAGAATAAACGTACCTCCATTATTTTTCATACTGTAGGTGGAGAACTTATTCCGCAGAGTGTCCAGGCGCTTTGGCCCCCGTGAGCCTCGCACTGATGCAGGGGACATCCTGGTGAATCAGGGCCCCGACAACAGCGAGGCTGAGGTTGTCCGCATCGAAGATTCCTTCAACCACCTGATCAGCAAGGTGGGCACGCTGGTGAACCGCAGCGTCACCCTGGTCTCCAGGATGAGCACCAGGCTCGACAAAGTCCTCCAGAGAGCCTTCCTGAACCACACAGACACCCTGATGGAGACCACCACTGATCCCTATGACCCCAGCCGCGACTCGGGCTTCCTGCAGGGTGTGGGGCTGGAGGAGGTGCTGGACTCCTTCTTTGACTTCGGCAAGAGCGTGGTGGAAGAGTTTGGGGCTGTGGTGACCCAGGTGTTTGATGACCTCAATGAGGCAGTGCAGGAAGAGAAGAAGAAAGGTAATGGTGGGCAGCAGCCAGCTGGTGCCAGAGAGGCCCAAATGTGTCAGAAAAACACTAAAACTACTGATTCCTCTGGTTGTATGCGGGAATTTATAATAGCTGCTATTGATTGATGATATTCTGGCTTCAGTGGCACATGATGAAGTACTGGGTTAGAGCAACTGTAATCTTAAAAAAGGTTAAAAGTTGAAATACACTGCACCAAACCCATAGTTTAAATGTGGTAACTTTGAATTTTTGAGAAATAATTATATTCCAGAGACATTTGTTTCTTTTCATGAATATTAGGTGTAACATCTTAAAGCAATACCAATCAACAAAAACACTAATTGTTGAGCTTTTTTTCTGTTTGGTGTAGCGAGGGAAACTTTCCCCCGTTTCCTGCGGAACAGGAAGTTGTGCAGAGACCTTCGCAAACAGACTTCAGAGTGCTGGCAGCTTCAGAACCAGTGTGAGGCCTGCCAGGGAGCCCTGCTGACAGGTGAGGCACCACCACCCTCACATGTTGTGTTTACTTCAGCTTTGCATACAGCAGCTCATGTGACCGCCCCTCTTCCTGTCTCCAGAGTGCCCCAGTGTTCGGGAGCTGCATGTGGAGCTGGATGAGGTTTCCCAGCTGCTGGATGTCTCCAAAGAGCAGTATGATGAGATCTTGTCTATTGTCAAGCGCCACACTGATGAGACAGTCAGCTGGCTCAGCAACATGGCGGCTGAATACAATTGGGTGGCTCAGGCTGTGAGCAACAGCAGCACTCCCGAAAACATCTTCCGTATCATCATGGTGAGAAGGAGTGAAGGAAACAAAATGGTTCATACTGACCATTAAGAGATCACTTCCTAAGGTGCTTCCAGTGTAAGAGATGGGAGACAAAATCCACAGCCCTCGTTCTGTGAAAACATATATACCAAAGTTTATCTATAGACAAATTAAGTGGGTATCTTTTGAGTACAGAATTCACTCTAGTAACATAAAGAGGACAGTTTCTACTTTGGAAATTACCTATTTGATTTTGCTTGACTGCTGAACCCTCATATTAACTTCAGATAAACTTAAGAATATAGTTTTGTCCCCTATTTATATTGGAAAGACATCTCTTAATGTCCACTGGAAGAAGGAATGATTACAGCAAATAAAACCTGTTTCAGTGTATATATGGGTCCCTAACTATTAAAAAAAAGTTAACTTGTTCTGTTATGTTGATCATGTTCAAATAGGAAATGTACAGAAAAGGTTATTAAAGATATACAGACATAAATGTATAGCTATGTGCAGAAGATTTATTGAATGCAAAGAATTTGGTCTAAGTAATTCATCTTGAGAGCCTTCGCAAATTAGAAACTAATATAAATTGTTAAAAACATAAAATAAATAAAATAAGTAGACATAGGCCAAGTGGAGAGAAACATATCGGATTGGATTTTTCTAAATTGGTATGAAAAAAAACAACCACCAGTAATTGTAAATCAATAATTGTTCCGCTCTCCAGGTGGCGCCAAAGAACCATGAGGACCAGAATGTATCTGTGACTGAGACCAAGGTGGAGGTAAAGATCCTGAACTCTTCCCCACTCATCCTCTCGGTTCCCAGGGAGCTGGAGCTGCAGGACCCGGCCTTCATCCAGTATGTGACCCAGGAGGCCCTGAGCAAGTACAAGGAGATGGTCAGGTGAGAACTTCCCCGACCTCCAATGTACCTCGCACTAGTCATATCACAGGCTTGGATTTCACCAAGGACATGTGTCATCCATCATCTGTTCCCAATCTCTTTTGCCCGAGTTTTGATTGAAAATTCTGACCTAAATGGCATTCTCTCTTTCTTTTCAGGTATGAGGAAGAGTAGGACTACAACTACAGGATTTCCTTTTCTGAGCTCCTATCAGCACTTTATTTGTGATCAGAACTAGATTGTGTTCCTGTATAGTAGCATAATCTTGTTAAAATGTAAATACACTAAAGCTGAACCATGTCAATTGCTATTTATTGAATGTAAACATGAAATGTACTTCACACCTGTCAACTGGTGTAAAAAAAATAATAAAAATAAAATACAAGTAAGCGTGACTTAATTAAAAGTGCTGGATGATTTGTCAATGTTTAACTGGTTTCTAGTCAAGAAAAAGAGTTAAAGGAAACCTCAGAGTAAACCTTTTATTTTACTGTACAAAATCATATTAGTTACCAGTCTCAGTAATTTCATTATCATCTCCCCACTAGTTCAAGTCCCATCTTTAGAAACAATAACATGTTAGGTTCTTGTGAGTGACGCACAGAAAGGAAAAAGGGAAAAAGTTCACATATTCATCCAATCCTTAAGCTTACTTACTGAATCCCATTAAGAAAGTTGCCTTTATAGCTTCTCATATTTCCCATCTCATACCGCTGGACAGACAGTGGAAGTACCTTGTTATTGGACTTTTGTATTCTTAATATCTATTAAAATTTTTTTTTAAAAAAAGCACTAAAGCCCTGACCTGATCACAGTGTGTGCAAGGTGTTAGGTTTGTCTGGTTCTCGTTACTTCACTCCAGAAGTGATCCATCATCTCTACAACTGGGAACAGAAACAGGAAAACCAAACGGGGGGCTCGACACAGGCAGATACCATTTGAGACTTTCCGTTCCATAAACCATCACTAGACGACTTTGCATAGTTGCATTTACAAATGAAAGAGATTTGTTTCGAGTTGTTGGCTTTGGACAAAACCTTCCCTCCAGCAGACACCAAGAACATTGAAGACGTAGTTAGTCACAGGTTTGTGTTTTTTTACTGAGAAGAAGAGAAAGAAAATACTACAGCTGCATGTATGATTTACATGATGATTTGATGAATTTAATAGATCTAACAGTTTCCTGGACCATCTACCGTGAGATAGCTCATCTACTGCAATGTTAAACTCTGCAGATGTGCAATATAAGAAGAAATATGTTAGAGTCTTTTACAGCAATCAGAGATGTGCGGAGAACAAACGACAAGATGCTAATTTCAGACAGAAACAAACTCAATCTTACTTAATTTTCACAGCTGAAGTGTCCATTTAAAAACATTTATAAAATGTTAAACAGGAAAAATGTTTTTTTTTGCACTTGTATATTATCAAAATACCTCTTTATGATTTCAAGTCCCCATTTAAATAAAAAAGAAAGAAAAAAACATGATAAATCGACGTGATTTGCCGTTCAAGTGTGTTAAAAAGAATCATACAAATCACTTCTCACGTTCGCATTCATCCCACCTGATCACACCTGCTAAAAATACATCTTTTTGCACATACTGTATGTACATCTGCTTTGATCTCTCAGTACATTCTTGCATCCATAAAGTACATCTGTTTCATTTACTCCTCCTCCTCACCCTCCTCCATCAAAGCTTTACAGTCACGGCACATACTTTTCAACCACAGTTGTTGGTCACTTAAAAAAAAACACACTTATCAACCTACATATTCAAACCAAACTCATGTACAGGTGAAAGATCTTGACCCCAATATCGATAAAAAATAAAATACAAATTTAAGAATTGGAGACAAGGGGGGGAGGGTATTATTTTTAAAAAGTAAAATAAAATAAAAAACTGCATCTGCCATTTATTTGAAATTAGGAGAAAATCCCTCTCTTTTTGATCACAGTGTTGTGGCCAGTTCATATGGATTATTCTGATTAGCAGGGTTCCCAGAGCTTAAAAGTACCAGCACGAATCTGCACAGTTGGACACTCCCCCAAACATTTGGTCCCCGAGTACACAAGGGACAAACCTCTACTTCGGAAAATATTTTCTTCTTGCACTTGCAGATATACCAGTGTGGTTGTGGACTAGTTTGTAGCATTAAAACTTCTTTCTCTGCAGCCTCATCAAGGCTTTTCCCACTGAAGTTGTCTGTTGTCCCAGGCTTTGATCTCCACTGATGTACCTCTGTGTGAGGCCACAGTTCAACCCCCAAATCCCCCAGACTAGAGGTTGTCCCCTGGCTGGTACTGTGGCTCTGTGGCTGTGAAGTAGTCTTCCAAAAAGGACTGGATGTATTCAAAGGTCGGTCTTTCATCTGGCTCCTTCTTCCAGCAATGCCTCATCATCTCATGGAGGGACTCGGGGCACCCCTGGGGGCAAGGCATGCGGTAACCTCGTTCTACCTGCTCAAGTACCTCTCGATTAACCATACCTGGAAGAAACAAAAAGAAATAGGACGTAAATGGACTGCATTTGTATAGCATTTTTTATCCAAAATGATTGTCAATTGGCCAGACACCGACACACACAGACACACACAGACACACACAGACACACACACACACACACACACACAGACAGACACACACAGACACACACACAGACACACACACAGCACATCGATTGCACATCGATTGCAGCAAGCTATTAGGCAACATAGTGGCCTAACTTGCTTAACAAATCTCTAAAAAAATAAGGGTTCGCTGTCTTTCTCAAGGACACTTTCATATGTGGACCAATAATAATAAGTAATTTAACCTCCATACATGCTTGGTTTCATACCTAATAGGTTATAGGTAAGTTCATAGTGTAACTTGTTTTGTAGCTTTTATGTTGTTATTTTCTTTAAAAAACAGAAGTAAATTGACATTTCAAAAGGAAACAGTAACATGAACAGTCAATAAGTAAGACTTTATGGGTAGAGTGTGACTGGAGTTTAACCCCAGTCAAAATTGCCAACAAGTTATGCATAGGTAATTTATGTGTTTGCAAGGATTTTAAGTGTATTTGTATGTGTTCATTTAGCTAGCTAACTTTATGCTGTCATTAGCCAAGTAATGTAAATGAGATACTCCCACACAGGAGTTACAATATTCATTGATCTGTGTCTTCTATGTTTCAGCTAATTGAGAAAACCTATGACAAGTGGATTTTTCCAAAGTTTTCTTGTCAAGAAAAATGGTGCAAGTTTGGATTAGGAAACAACCCAGTTTGCATCCTGAAGCAGAACAAATGTTGGCATCATGCAGCTGACAGTAGGATAAAAATGCCCACGCAAACCACTGTGATAAAAGATAAATAAGCTCATAAAAACTCAACAACTAGGTAGAAAGGTTATTTCCTGTGTCAATTTCAAGCTTAAAAGGACAAAAACACTGATGTCCTGGCAATCTCTGGTTGAAACACTACAAATTCCAGACATAACATAAGGTAATATTTTGCAATCCTCTAAATGGGAGATCACCAGTTTCTTACTCATCAACTGCAGCAAATTCAAACAAAAACCAAACATCTTCTGGCCACTTCCTGCCCAACTAGAGCACCAGAGTCGTGGATTCTACTTGAACCCTGTGACACAGTGCAGAAACAGCTCCATGGGGAGCTCGACTGCAGCTAAAAGAGGTTATGACACAGTCAGTGGCATGGTCCCAGCCGCATCCCCCCACCATCACTCTGTGGGAGAGTGGGGGATCAGGTTATCTCACACTGGGAGAGAGGAAGGGCCCGGAGCAACTGCTGAGACCAGGATATGGTGGCGGTGGTATGTCAGATGCTGGGGTGTTAGTGTGATTTATGTCTTGCATCTAAAAATCTCACCTCTAATAACATGCCTGTCATACATCTATGTATCTAAATATATATGTGCAAACTAAAATAGAAAAAGCGATGATGTGTTCCCAGGCAGGCCCTCCATACGTGGTCTTGGTATACCTGCCTCATACTGCTATCAAGCAAGCAGATAGAAATAGAGCTCCCCAAAAAGACTGCAGCACAGCAGGACAAGAGCCACAAATGTCTGGTGAGTCAGACTACAATTCTGATGAAGGGAAAAGAGGAGGTCCAGCCCCCAGAATTTGCAGCTCTGAGGTGAATTAATTAGACCGAAACAGTTTGCACTGAAACCAGAAGGCCACAGGAGCCAGATGGCCCTCTGCAAGAGATGGTGGTTAAGTCGGCCATATGGCATGCTCTGTAATCAGTGCCAGTCGAACACTGTCAACACCAGACACAATGCAGTACTGCTCCAAGACAGCAGTGGTCAGAAATTAGGTGGCAGGAAGAGGGAGATGTGTATGAGACAGTAAGGGGTCCTTTCCCATGCACTGATAAGTAGTTAGACATATGTGCTGACTCACATCAGCTACTGCATGCAGTTCTATTCTCATCTGCATGTGAGACACAATACTATTATAGATGACAGAGAACAGCATGTTGGAAACAGGGTTCCTACACGTTTTCCAGACTCTTTTCAGACTTCTGTGATGACTGTATTTTGCGTACAAATGATGTTTATTATGCAAGTAAAGGGTTTTAAGATCCAACCGTTAATGCAGCCTTGTTTATCCACTGCCCATGGAAACCACAATGAACACACTCATAAATGTTTTCTTACACAGACAACATAGTTGTTTACCTTTTACTGTATAACTCATAAAGGTTCGGACAAGCTTAATATTTGATTATTTTTGGTGCTATGTATATACGCAATTCAAAAGATACTGACACATTTTCTTTCAAACTAATGTGATCGCAGTGGTCAACATTTGGTTCTGTTATAATACACTTGCAGCAGAGCTGTTTTCTAGGCTGTGACATTCAGGCATAGAGGCAGCTCTGCGTAGGAGTGCGCGTTCAGTCGCACGCCAAACTCCTTGCCTTGCTTTTGGTGACATCAAGTCACTCTGGCCCGCACTCTCTCACACAGCAGTAAACATTTGGCAGTGCAGCAGCCTGAAAACACTGCTTGTACGATCAAATTATTATAAAAAAAAGGGCGTCTCTCCAAACGTCTATCTTATTTTTAAACTCATTTTTAGATATTCTGAATTGTATATTTCAGAAAACAAAATAGGGTCAATAGTGTGGAAACACAAGTACTTTTCCATACTTTCTTTTCTTTTTTCCATACTTATACATCTGGAAATTATCAAAATCTAATTCCATACTTTTCCATACTGCGTAGGAACCCCGTGGAGGCAAAAATGTATTAATTATTCCAGTTTTCCATGAAGGAAACTTGAAAGCACTCCATTCATGTTCATATTTAAGATAATTGGGAATTCAGACAAACTCAGAAAAGGCAGCCTCCCATATAAACTGACAATCACATATAAGCACATATCTGTGTAGCTCTTGCCCCTACCTGGGTATGGTACTCTCCCTTTAGTCACCAGTTCAGTCAGTAGTATACCAAACGACCAGACGTCTGATTTGATGGTGAAGCGGCCGTACAGAGCAGCTTCAGGGGCCGTCCACTTGATGGGGAATTTAGCACCTGGAAAAAAGGAAGTAAATCGGAAATGATCAGTATGACTAAGGTTGCCACTAACCATTAACTTCTGAAATCAGAGAGAATGTTTGACATGTTTGCAATTAATTGCATGTTATTTGACTAATTGATTCATCAATAAATAGACAGAATGTGTGATGAAATAAAATTTGTGTCAGCATGTGCTCTTGTTGCCCCTAAAGGGGACAAAACCTTGTAGCAGGGCAGCAAATAACAGACCATTATCATTATTAATTCATCTTCTGACTATTGGTCTATAAAATGTCAGTAAATAGAAAAATCTAAATTTCCTTAGGCTGACATATTGCTTTTTCTTTCTTACCAACAGTCCACAACTCAAACATATTCCATTTACTTTCATGTACGATGAAGAAAAAACAACTGAGAGGAAGAATAATAGAAAAACAAAGGACTATCAATCAATCAACTGACTACTTGTTTCAGCTCTAAAACCAGTGTTAGGCTGTAGTCATGGTAAGAGAAGAATTGATGAATTGAGCTGAAGGTTCATGGTGTGCATTAAAGGATAACCAATCCTCACAAACACAGACATTTAAACCCGCGTGTGTCTGAGCACCAGCTGCCTCCAGTTCTTAACACGCACCTTGTCTGGCGGTGTACTCGTTGTCCTCGATGAGCCGAGCCAGGCCAAAGTCAGCGATCTTACACACTAAGTTATCCGCCACCAGGATGTTGGCCGCTCTCAGGTCCCTGTGGATGTAGTTCATCCTCTCAATGAAGGCCATGCCGTCTGCGATCTAAGAAAGGGATTGAACAGAACAGGGAGGGAAAGAGGGGAGCCGGGTCAACAAAGAGAAAATGGTATCATGATGCAACCAAAGTCAGATCAATATTACTTGTGAATGCCACTAATTAAGAGGGGATGCAGTGAGTTGTTATTTTAATATACACTTCATTGATCTAGTATTTGACTCCGATGGGAAGGAGTGCAATGATGCAAAAAAAGAAAAAACAGGGGAGAAAGGAGAAAGTTGACCTAGGTTCTGAAGGGGAGGGCGTTTAGGAAGGGTCAATTAAACAAATCTTGAACACAACCATCCAACATCTCATCACTCTGGCTGTCAACTCCTCCAGAGGCGTCTCGAGGTTTCAACCCGCCTAGATCTCATTCTCAAACACTTTCCCACTGCTGAGTGAGGAGAAGAGGAAGCCTGGGAGCGCGGAGAGGCGAATTAAGAGCAGATCACAGTAGGAAACTGAACCAACGGGCTCAAGTGGCCTCTGATGAGCAGCGCTTAGTGCTACAGGCAGATAAGTGGCAGAGAACAAGGGGAGACACGTACAGCGGGGAGGAGGAAGAGGGGAGGGTAGATGTCAGGTAGGATATTAAATAATTATGACAGCCAGATGGAGGACAAACTGAAACCCTTATTCACAAGGACTGAATATTTGACTCACACACTCCTACACTGGAAACCTGCCCACATGCAGCTCTCTTTGTTTTATTGCTGATGTGTGAAAATCATTCCTGCACACAAGAGTTCAAACAGCAGCTGGGCAGGTAGGAGGCATAGGGAGTTTCTGTGTCTGCATAAGTATTCAGATGCTGTGTTTTGATCCTACCTGTGCAGCCATGTCCACCAGCTGGGGCAGCTTCAGATATTTACCATCTCCCTCCTTCAGGAAGTCCAGTAAACTACCTGTCAAGAGTTTAGAAGACTATGGTCAAGCAAGAATCAATACGTCTGTCTGGGCAGCGTATAAACAAAATACAAAAATAAATACAGCAACGCTCCAGTGTTCAGCATCAGAAAACTCTAAAATAACCAAAACCACTTAAAGGCAACATGACTGCAAAGATCATAAGAGGTTTTCTTCTTTAAGTTTAGTTCTGTTTTATGTCTGAGCACACAGATTGTTTTTTTTCTACTTTTAATAGAAGTTTCAATGCAGTTCAACAGTCATACTAATTAACATTATTAGAAGTTACAGATCATTGCTACATTTACAGACTTTTCCTGTGATTATGTACAGATGTTAAAAACTGCGTGAGGCTGAAATGTAGTTCAAATGAAATCAGAAGACTTTCCTAAGGTTGCAGAACTGCTGAGGATATAAATAAATAACTAGCACTAATAAACGGCATCTTATGTATCGAGCTGCGGTGAATTGACACGTCCTAAGCCCTGCCCCTTTTCTGCTCTGTGCTCCAATAACAGTTGAGCAAGTCAGTCAGAACTTCAGTCGACTTCCTTCTTTCCTATACTTCGATATGCTATGTGCTCATCTGTATGTTGAAAAACATGGGCCTTTAGGAAGAATTTGCAGGTGAATTAAAAGAAGCGGGTGTGTCCATCCTTTCTTACCTTTGCCCATAAATTCTGTTACAATGTAGATGGGCTCCTCAGACACGACAGCATAGAGAGGCACCAGTTTGTCATGTCGAAGTTTCTTCATTATCTGAGCCTCCTGCAGGAAGGCCTCTGGGGACATGGTACCCGGCTTCAGGGTCTTAATAGCCACCTTAGTAGTGCCGTTCCATGTGCCTGAAGAAAAACAACAACCACAGAAACAAAATGATCACTCATGTTTGAAATAATAACCCCCAAACCAATGTTGCACTGGTGCAGCTTGAAAGGCATTACTGATGGAACAATTCATTTGAGATGTTTTTCCAATTTATCACACATACTGTAATACAAAAACACTGAAGGTTCAATATATAATAATATATAAATACTTTATGACCCCTACTAAGTGGATGAAAGTCCGATCCTAAAATCAACCGCCATGTCAGTGATCTCTGGCTGTGTTCCCATGTGTAAAGAGCAGCTCGAGAGAGAAAGAACATGACAGCTTAAATAATCAGCCACTTCCTGGTTGAGAGCCACTTACTCACGCCCTGCTTACATACAATGAGCTCCACTGCTTCCGTCATAAGGCTGACCTTCATGAATGAATCACTCCGAACAAACTACACACAAGCTGAAGGACAAAGTAGGACAATGATAATATCAAATAATTATACGGTGAGGTGGCGAGGACACAGGAGAGCAATGTAGGCACAATGTGATATTTACAAAACTAAATATTGGACAAGCAAGGAAGGGATTCTCAGTAAGAAGCTGAGCAGAAAAATAAACCATCAAGGAGGGACAGAGAGGGATTCCTGGGATTGCACAGCGGAGGTTTGCAGGTCGAGGCTTGCTGCAGGCCAGACTTAATGAAAGACTGAGTGATGAAAGAAGAGAGTCGTGTTCACTGAAAGGCCCCCGTCTCACATGCAGGCCCGAGAACTAAAGCGTAGGAGGTGACCTGTGATTACGGAGCTGTGTGTGTGTGTGTGTGTGTGTGTGTGTGTGTGTGTGTGTGTGTGTGTGTGTGTGTGTGTGTGCGTGCGTAAACCAACAGCAATCAGTAATCAGCATTTACATCAGTATGTGGGCCAGTGTGGCAGCAAGACGAGCTCTTTACTGAGGTTAGTCCCAGTCAGCTTTAAGCTAATATGAATCATTTTTTAAACAACCTCACTATATATGCATTGACTGCTTCTGGGTTGTTTTACATTAAATTTACATTAGTTATAAATAATGTATGGAGGATGTGTTGTTTCTATATGTACATACTAATGGCCCTATACGGATGTGTCCATGGAGATGTTTATATTCTTTCCTAATTCGTGATCAGCGTCAGCATCGAACATCAACACTGGGTTTTTATGCATTTGTGTGTGGTCGACGTCAGTACATGGACTAATCCCAGATCCTGAAACTAGTCAACATCCCACAGCTGCTATCTAATGCTACTAAGGCACAAATTTCAGCAACATCTGGCTTTCAATGTACTGACAGATTTCACATTAATACATAAATTCAACCTGCATCCTCTTCATGCTGGATTTTACTCTGTTTTCTGTTTCTGTGGCCTAAATAAAATAACTCAGCAAAATCAGCAAAATCATCCGATTTCAATGGAACAGCCCCCAATGAGCGGTTTCTCCAGCTGAAATGATGAGTCAATTAATCAATTAATCAATCAACCGAAAATATATCCACAACTAACTGGATTATAATTTGTTTTTAAGAAATAATGCCAAGATGAATTAGTTCCTGTTTCTCCAACGTGAATATTTGCTGGTTTCTGTATGAGGTCTGAATATCTTTGGGTTTTAGATTGTTGTCCAGAGAAAATAGCAACATGATTATGTCAACCTTTGGAAATTGTAAGGGATATTTTTGGCTATTTTCTGGACTATAGTTAGTTAGTTAGTTAGTTAGTTAGTTAGTTGGTTAGTCGATCAATCAAGAAAAAAATCTGCAGATTAAATCGCTGATGAAAATAATTGTCCAAAAAGAACTGCCCAAAATATATAGATCATATTACGACTCTCATCCAATTTGGTCTAAACTTGCTCTGCTGGAGTATAAATGGACAAAGATGCAGCCTGGTTTACATTCAGCCATTACACAGGAGTGAATGGTACATAATGTGCCATCCCTTCAGTTAGCTGCATTGTAATATTATCCAGTTATCTACCAAAAGTGCAAGTAGTAGTAGTACTGTTTCCAGAGACTGTGCCAATGAATTTAGCTGCGATATAATGGTAGATATATCTGTTAGGAGAGGTCCTATAGTCCCAAAGTCCGTTCTACAAAAGCACTTTACAAGACAATATGGATGGCAGATGTGCATGTAAGAATGTTCCAGAAGCATACAGCATGTGCTCGAGTACAGCAGTAATGGTGTCTTACCCATCCAGACTTCTCCAAAGCAGCCTTGGCCCAGTTTCACCTCCAGTCGGAGGGACTCCCTCGGGATTTCCCAGGCATCCTTAGCTAGTCCCTGAGTCTGAGGCTTCACTGTGGGACACACAGTTGTCAGCCTGTGGCACAGACCATCTGCATGCTCTGGACACACAAGGGGGGGGAGAAACAGAAGAAGGCCAAGTAAGTGATCATCCTGCTAATTCACACCACCAGTCTGTTCAACAAAAACCCAATCACTGAGTAGTGTTAAGTACATACACAATCCAAGGAGTAAGCAGAGCCATGCTACAGTAAGTGGACTGTAAATATGTGATAAATAAAATATCATGTTTGCTACAGGACGCAGGCAGCAGACTACGATCAAACCACAACTAAGCAAATGCACAGAAATGATGATCCAACATTTCCAGTCACTCCTCACAGAATAGGGTTTTATTTTTCATAATAAAATATTCGGGTACTTTCACCATAACGACGTGAACTGTGCTGAACTCAATGTAATTTCAATTTCAGTAAGAAAGCAAAGAGATCAAGGAGCTGTTTGTGCTACAGAAGTCTTTTCAGACACAGCAAGAGCCCTGACAGCAGCAGCACTAACCATCATGTGAAATGTCCCATTTGAATTCTGCACACAGAAAAGGGAGAAACAGTGAAGAACCCGCCTGTTACATTCAAGCCAATGAATAGCTAAGATGTTACAAACCTTTTCTGCATGAATGCCCATTCATTATTGACTTCTGTCTGGTGTTTCAAAGCTACACATATAGGAATATAAAGTAGTGCACAGCTTTGAATTTACCAGTCATCAATTATAAAAGGAACTGCATATAGTGAATTACATGAATTATGTGGAAGCAAGCAGGTCAACAACACAAGGTCTAAAATCAAGTGTTAAAGACTTTGTATTCTTGCAAAGTTTTCAATAAGCAGTTCTTCCTGCCTGTGTTTACATCATTCAGACGCTTTCTTGTGACAGATCGCTGGGGATTTTTAGGAACAGCTGCCTGCTTATCAATACTGTGCAGATTACAGCAGGCTTAAGACTATTTTTTTGGGACATTTTTATATTCACGGCTCTTTTTGGCTCAAGTCTCACTTGGTTTCGCGTTTTTGGGACTTTGTCATGATTACTGATCCGTGACTGTGTCAGTGAAAGCACCGCTTGAGGATCAAGACAGAAGAAAAAAAAAAAAGCTCTGGAAAACATATTCAAAACATATCCCAGCAGCAGATCTGCAGCTGAATAATGCATTTTCTACTGCAAGCACTGAGTTCATTGGCTAAAAAAATCAAATAAAACAACAGTAGAGACTACTTGTATTGCAAAAGCACAACCACCAAAAGTAGAAATGACTATAATAAACATTGCTTGTCCAGATAACTCCAAACATGAATCAAAAAGATTAAAAAACAACTTGCTCCAAGTAAAACCAGCTGTCCAGTTGTAAACAACAATTTGTCTGCAGGCTGCATACCTGTGTAGTGTTTCACCAGCTTCTGTAGATTCTCAAACTGGGCCCGAGTGGTGATGTAATAACCACCGTTGTCCAGCTTACGGATTTTGTAGTGTTTGACGTTGTCTCCCTTCACCTCGTCCCAGTCCCGGATAGAAAGAGAGTAAGCACCTTTAAAATGCACAGAAATGTAATTAGATTGTGCTTCCCAGTAACAGAAACTCTCAAATCTGCCAAGCATCTCAGACTTTTTACATAACACATTTAAACCTACATTAAAAATGAAAGTTTTGTCCATACAAATTATCATTTGGCTGCAATAGCTTGCACAAGAAAAGAAAATAAGCTTTCATAATTTGCTTTATATATTAAAACAGCAGCATTATTATTACTGACTTGCTATTAAATCCTCATACCTTTGGTTGTCTCACTCTCTCGTGCCAAGAAAGTGCCCCGCTGGTTCCCTGGAAGCAATAAAAGACGCTCAGCATCTTTGCGGCCCATTTTACCAAAGTACCATCTGCCAAAAGAGAGAACGTCAGACAGTCAGATGATAGGAGGAGCTCTCAGCGTGATATCTTTCACCACAAGTAGAATTTCCTCATTGTTGCAATAAAAACCGTGGCACTGGTGATACTCTGGCTTTATAACTTATAAATCGTGTCTACAATGTAAAGTTCAAAAACTGATGAACAGGAAAATAAAACATATTTGATTAAACATCTGGAATTTATACGTTGTTATCTTCAAAGTTAGACAAACGTTATAGCTTAAAATCTCCTTTTAGTCAAAGTTATTTCAACCACACCACTATAATTATAGCTCTTTATTAACTTAGCTCCAAGCATTACGTCTTTAGCTTGTTCCATTACATATTAGAGCACCTTAAAAAAAGGTTCCTTCCTATTGCTATAAATAAATAAGTAAAACATGAGCTCACGGCTGTAAACAATCTTAAAATCTAGCTTTTCTTCTTCTCCCTTTTAAAAGAGCACAGCAGTCTATTTCAGGACATCCTTACAAGTTCAATCATGTTGAATTGTTTTACCTCACAGGCGTATTTTCTTCAAGACTAAATTGAGAAGGGCCCAAAAATCCTCAACGCCGTCAATCACTTTTTGAGACTAAAGGCAAACTTAACTGGGTGGTTTACCCGGGTTTCCTTTTTATTTAATGAGTTGCTTAAACATCTAGTAGGAGTAAAATGGCCGTCAGCCAATGAGAAACCAGGCCAAAACTGCTTTAACGTTTCTGTCACACTGGATGAGCAGCAACAGGAATGCCACCAGCTCTCAGTGACAATACAGGACTTCATTGTTTCAGTTCTCCCCCATGTTGGCACACGATGAGTTAGTCACAATGTGTGACCGCCCAGGCGCGTCATGTCGTCTTAATCAGAAACCCGAAAGGAATGATAGGGAGAATATAAAATTGAAACGATGGAGGATGTTGGAGACGGTAACAAGCTCTTACTCTTCAGCCTGTATGGAGTCAGCTGGAGCCACATAGTTACTGGGGATGTAACCTTTGTGTCCGGTGTTGATGGAGCGAGCCTCCCACCAGTCGCCTTCCCTGAAGAGAGAAGTAAAGATTAAAAATCAGACAGACACGCACGCACGCGCGCACAATGCAGACATAAAACCATGAATGAAAAATACACCTACTCAGAAAAGAAGACTGCAGGTATAAAAGTATGCAAACATAGAAAAGGAACAAGGTCATATTGTGCGTCATTCAATCACGTCAGTTATCCGATTCATCATATGGGGTGGAGAGTGGTTTTTAAGCTGTGTCATTCAGTGGTGGAAGAATTATTTAGAGCCTTTACTCAAGTAAAAGTACCAATATCACAATGTAAAAGCACTATTAGTAGAAGTACTGCATTCTAGCACAAAAGTATCATCTGCAAAATCTATCAAAAGTAAAAGTTCTGCAGAAGATTGATTAGGTATTTTATATCAACTTAAAGCTCCTGATGTATGCAAGATGTTTTCAAAGACATTCAAAAGTTTAAAAGCTGTATAGAAAGCTATATATAATAAAACACTGCATTCATATACATTTAAACATACAACAATTCATAGGTAACACATACTCGTAGATACACATAATTGTTGACACACGCTCCACACGCACACACATATATAACCTATATCAACTGGCACATATATATGTGCACAGCTGTGAATGTTTAAATTTAAATTAAAACTGGGATGGAGGAAAAATCTGTCCACTGGCATTTTTACCAAACTGAGCAAATCTGTCCTCCTCCCACCTCTCCTCTGAACGCAGATGGCATTTTCATCACTGCGAACGCAACGTGTTCATGGACTGAGCCTGAGGACGCGTGTGATGGATTTGCAGAGTGTGTCTTCATAGCTGGTGAATGAACCATCAGGGTGGGGTCAGGCCCATAATGGACGCTGTGATGGATTTGCAGAGCACTTGGAGCTCTGCCCATTTTCACACCTGTGCACACCTGGGACAAAGTCTGTGCTGCTGCAGTAGGTAGAGAGGAGCGGGTAGTACTGTACAGTATTAAAGAAAATCCAGGGATTTGATTTTTGGACTAACTTGTTTTATTTATTTAGATAGATTGTTCACAACATTATTCTCTTAAAAGAAGGAAATTTAAGAAAATTAGAAACGGTTTTGATTCAATAATATTCTAATGAGTTTGACCTTCAGGCATATTTTCAGAGCATTGTTGATGTCTTGGTGAATAGAGGTTATGTAAATGTTAGTAATAAATTCATCTATTTATTATGTGCACTGCTTGTACTTCACTAAGTGAAGGAAGAGCAGTATGTTTTACACTGTAACCCAAATGTAACACGTTAAACTGGAGGTATGATCTCAAAAGCGATGCGGACTGAACAGATGGCCCATTAGAGGACCCCATTAACCCAGACAGATTTCAGCCTTAATATCAGACCTGAATACAATGAGGGATTAAGCGCACACACACACACGCAGCAGGAGTTTGTCGGGGTAAAAAGCAAATGCACTAACGTGTTGTTGATGATCTGGAAACGATCCCCTTTTTTGAATGACAGGTCATCTGACGTCCTCGCTTCGTAGTCATACAGCGCTACAAAAAATGTTACACCACCTGAAAGCAAGAGAAACCCAGCGTTAATCAAGCTGTTTTTTTAACTATCTCGAAATGTTGTACAACAAATTAAATTAGCACCAGCAACCTTCGACCTTCAAATAACGACAACAAAATCATTTTTGATTAACCTACTTTGTCCCTTTATAATATCTCATACTTGAGTCAGGGTCTTATGTTAATTGATAAACTGATAAACAATTTAAGACTGTATCACAGAATACTTTCTGTTTTCTTAAAATATCCCTTCTCTTTTGAAATTTGCCACTTCCTGCCAACCCAGAGCCTTGACTAAAAATACAACCGGCTCTATTAACGTTGATTTATTTTAAAGGGAAACATGGAAAAGAGAGTATTCCCTTTCACAGTTCTCAAACTTGGCCGTATCACCTTGAGTCAGTAAATCAAACTGACTGTCACTTAATCTCTTCTAATCAATAACAAGAGTTGATTTGTCCATGGTGTGAAGTGACAGAGTGCAGAGAGACAACAGGACTCTGATGGGTTTATCTTGAGGGGGAAATTGAACAGGCAGGATTAGATCTACAGCAGCCCCTCAGGCCAGATTATCCTCCTTGAGAGGGCGAGACAGGGACTGAGGGATGTGTGTGTGTGTGTGTGTGTGTGTGTGTGTGTGTGTGTGTGTGTGTGTGTATGCGCAAAACTGCGTGAATATTTTTCATGTCAAGAGTCATTTCATTACCAACAAATCCCTAATTAACGTAAAAAAAACTCTTGTTGAAAAAATAAACTTTATTGTGCATGACTATATCTATTGAATTCAGTGTATGCGATTGTTTTCTTTAGCTCCGGAGATGCCATGCCTGCTGCATTGCTTCCCATATTACAGACCTATTTTGGGCTTGTCTTTGGCCTTGAAGTTTTGGCTGACTCATTTCAAATGTCTAATTTGCATAACATCTGCTACTCATAACGCCCTGCGCATAACAAATGTTCAACAGAGTTTATTCTAAAGTTGTGCACTGATTCACACGTAATGACAGCAAAATGAAACGTTAGAAAAAAGTTGAGAAAATGCTTCAGAAGTATTAGGTTGTATCACGTTTTGCTCATTAGAAAAGTCAATTTATACCTTATTAAAACGCAGCACGGCTTTTACATTTCTGTTTCTTCTCTGAGAGTGCTTGGGGACCCAAAGTTATATGAATTTATTTGAATAATAAAGAAGATTTCATTCATGTTGAGAAACTTTCAAGGACGTTTTCCCCCCTAAATATGCAGATTCCCTTGTCCCATGGTTCTCCCTTAAAACTTAAATCCTCCACAAACTGACCTGTGATGATACCGGGGAAGGGGCTGCTCACGGCCACTGAGGTGAAGGAGGTGGAGGCCCCGCCAAAGGGCGTCATGACCGAAGTCGCCCCACCAAAGGGCGTGAGGGCGGCGGCGTGACTGTTGTAGCTGTTGTTGTGTGTCTTCATAGCTGGTGAATGACCCATCAGGGTGGGGTCAGGCCCATAATGGCCCAGGTGGGAGTTGATCGGCGTGGCATTTGAGTTATCGGGTCGGTACTTCAGCGCCGGGCCCTTGTCCTCTTTACTCCTGACGCAGCCCATCGTCAAGCCTGCAGGGAGGGGAAAGAAAAGGAATATATGAGTAATGATGAATTTGGTTGCATTTATAAGCTCTTTGTAGTTTCTACTGTCTATCAAACATTCTTGCTGCAGTAGGTCAGCGGTTCATGACTTAAAATGTAACTTGAACACAAGTTTTGGGTTTTTTATTAACCCAACAGAAATATATGTGAATGGGAAACAATGAGGTGCTAACTTAATATTGAGAAAGAAACTGACACGACACTCTCATGTTGATGGATAGAAGAACTGGGCTTAATTTAGCACTGTAGATGACACTCTAAAAATATATAATGTAGTTATAAATTACCAACATGACATCAACAATCTGAATATAAAAAGCAAATGATGCCTGTTGCAAAGATGGCTGAAGCTAAAAGACTTCCCACACTATTTTGATCGACATATTTATACATATTATTTTGCAGATTTCTTTAGTCTTTAACAATGACTTCAACACACTGAACAACAGGTAGACAACAAGTAGAGCGGTGCTGCTATGCCTACAAAATCCTTTAAGAACACAAATTATATCTTGTTTCTTAGAAATGAAGGTAAAAGACTTTATATGAGAGCATAATTATCCAAGATATCATAATGGGAGTCTCAGCCTTTAAAGGCTGTCAATGAGTCCTCAGGGGAGATTTCAACATTTGCACATAAACAAAAACTCAAAGCAGTGTTTCGTGTCTAAATTAGCAACAGAACCTACGAGGCTTGAGCTCATGCTTTTCTCGTGGGGCTGAGCTTGTGTCACAGAATGGAGAGAAGTCATTATGAAATTGTTCATACTAGCCTGCAGCTCTTTGGGGGGTCTTGGCATAACTCTACCATACATAAAACCAAGACTGCAAGCCAACAAATGACCTCATATGACTTCACAAGTTCCAACAAAAGCCTGTCGAGCCAGCCGAGCTCAAAACTAGATCCTATTACAGCCTTTGGCCATTTCAGCTCTCCCCCTGTGATCTCACTATCACTGACACAGATTTGTGAGGGGCAAAAAGCCCTTTGGTGTTAAGAGTCATAGCTCTCCCCTCCTGAGCTTACTGATATATGAAACTGTGTATGTGTGTGTGTGTGTGTGTTGTATTTTGAGGACCAAATTACTTCACATAAACAGAAAGATAAGAAAAAATCATCTGAATTAGGTTTAATGTCTTGTGAAGTGATTGGGAGGTCCTCACAACAGATAAATGCATTATGGGTGTTTAAGTTTGTTGTCATGACAGCAGTCGATAGCATCGTCTTGGCCGCTTCATCGAGTAGTTCTGTTCATGTTTCTGTGTTTCCAACTGTACACAATAAAACAAGCTACCACTGAACACTCAACTCCAGGACTGAACCGCTGTCAGTGACTCATAGACATTTGTAAAATGTAACAACATGGCTCCAAATGTCCATCAGTGACTGGACATTTGGACTGGTTTGTAACGGAGTAACAGAGGTGTGTGCTGCTTTCAAGGGCAACAAAGCCAAGACAAAAGGTAAGAAATGTAAAAGGACACTGTATAGAGCTTTTACACTCCAGTGTGTCTGCTTAAAAAAGCTTTAATCTGTCTACTAATGCAGGTTTCTGTGAATAGTAAACAACACATCTGATGTTTTGATTATTGGCTTTATTTTTAACTTATCGTCATGAGTTAAACGTGCACATTACTCGTACAAACATTGGATTATGTTTGAGTGCATTTGAATGCTTTGTCTGTTGTTCGGTGCTTGATTTCATCACACGGACGGACACTGTTTAATGTCCTCGGACGACATTATAAGGCAAAGCAACTCCTTTTATTAAATTTGTAATTTAAGTTGACTACACCTGTGTGTGGACACTTGCATTTTATTCTGCCTAAAGCTCTGGAAACACTGCCCATGTCAGCAGAGCGCGTGCATCGAGGAACGTCTTGCCTTTTAGTTCAGCGCCCATGTTAGTAAGTCAGAGCAGACGAGCGGCTGCAGCAACACTTCACTGGGAAGTGGAGGTCTCACCTATTTTTCCCCACTAGCCAGACACAGTTCCCGCAAGAATAGGATCTGTTCATAATATCGACATTATAACAGCAACATGCACCCCTTTCACTACATATTTAATGGATAGATTTTTTTAACACCTCCGGTATCCATTTCAGTTTTAGTGCTAACAAACAACAAAGCTTTTATTGTGTTGTATTTATCAAAGACAAACTCAGCGTCGAGACAGGGCTGGCAGCAGCAGCAGAATGTCTCTCTGTGTGTGGACACCGCAGCAGCTCAGCGAGGCAGCTGCCACGCACTGCTCACGTGGGCTCCGTGTCCAGCCTGTCAGTAAAAATATTTTTGAGTGCTTTTTGATGTTCTTTATGGTCAGTGTGCGAGGGACTTTGTCAAAGTGTTTGTCTGCACTGGTGTCTTCAAAGCAGAGCTAACGTTAGCTTCACAAGCCTGAATGCCAGAGGTACCGATTCAGTGCTTTTGAAGGGATGAGCTTAAAAACAACAATATGATGTGCAGTTTGTCTGGGAGGTTACTGTTCACCAACTGCTAACCTTTTAGAAAATGACGCGATCCCATCAACTAGACTGACTCTTAATCTTATAGAACAGCAAAATGACACAGCTTACTTTTTATTGTATTTTTCCCTGACATCAAAATGATACAGAGGGATGTTTCATAGAGCTCACAGAGTAAACATTAATTAGCTATAATAATAATAATAATAATAACTGGCTGTTTTTACGGCCACAATATTGATGGTCGGTATGTAACTTTTTACAGCTTGCCAGGACATTAATGGTTTAAGCTATAATTAAAACTGTAGATCTTCATTTGAAAATCAAATCGTGATGTTGACATAAATGTGTTTCATTGTTAAGCCCTGATTAAATAACAGAATCTTTGTGTCCATGGTAACACAATCAAAGGCTACTAAAAGGATTACTTAAAAAACAAAATACAACTTCCATTGTTAGGGTTCTAGTCTTACTTATATTTTTGAGCTTTATTCTTTATTTTATTTACTGTTTGGTGAAATAAGCTCATGCACCACTCAATTTGTAATGGATGTATTGATTTGGCAGTTCTTTGTTCTATCAAACTGGATCAAAGACTAAATCCTCTGGTGGAAAAAACTATTCATTTAGTCTCAACTGAAAGTGTGGGCTTGGCTTGTTAACCGTAGCGCTACAACCGAACCTAATGAGGGTCAATCAATCTATGGATGAACGTATTTCAGATGGATGGTGTATGGACTTCTTCCCATGAATAAACAGTATTGACTGAAAGCCAACGCTGAGGCAGCAAAAACAGAGTGTGGGGGATGAAAGATGGGGGGAGAAGGATAGATGGAGATGAATTGCTATGAAAGAAACAGAAATATTTAAAGAGCAGGGAGGAAAATTTGAGAGGCAGATGATGATGATGATGATGGTGCACAGAACAGTCATCGTTTCATTGTTTAAAATGCAAGAAATCGGGTTCTTAATCAAAATCAAATCAGGTTTTCATTCTTTGTCGTTCACATAGTCAACCACCAATAGTATTTTTTGCATTTAACTCTGATAGGCAACATCTTGTATGCTAATCTGCTACACTCTGCCTGCATGCCGGATACAAACTGTAGGCGAAGTGGATGAAGATGAGATCAGATTCCGAACAATCAGAGTACAATCGGAGCATCATATTAAAATGATGTACTTTGGTCAGCTAACAGGTCCACTTAGACAAATTATGGCCTCTCCGGAAACCAGACAACCTCCACAGGATTGTTACCACAGACAGGATAGCCAATAACAGCTGGTGATGACAGCATGCGATCTGTGCGAGCATGGCAGCACTACTTGTCCTGGCAATTTGTTAAAGCTGGTTAACATGCAATGAACGAGGAACCTGTCTGTAGACAGAGAACACTTAAAACACTTTGAAATAGCAATGTAGTTGATGTAAAATGACAATATTATAGTTGAAATTTCTCAGTTCTAGCCTTATCTTGAGAACACATTGTTTTACATTGGTCTACTTAAGTATATCAGGTGCAGTAAGTGAGTGTTTGTGTGTCACTGAAGCCTGAAATGCACATTTGCATGTCGTTTTTTGCAGATGTCCACACAGGTGTCAGGGAACATACATGCACGTAAGATTAAAGTGAGCACCAGGGAGAAGTGTCACATACAATGCTGCATGTAAAGGAAATGAAGAATAAACCTGGCAAACCCAGGAATTAATCTTAAAACTACAACAACAATCACCTGACACCAGTGACGAATATTCTTCACTGCTCAACGCATCCCAGCTTTTGTTGAATTCACAAGAGGACCGAAATAGACGAGATAAAGCAATGAGATTTTAAAGGTGTTCATTCTTATTTTAGTAACAGGAATAAATAAAGGCAAGAAAACAAGGCTAGCAGCCTCACAGAAAAGCAAAATCTTTTAATACTCAACTCTAATTTAAGTCGAAGTTTTTAAATACCAAACATTCCTTAGTTCCAGATGCTCAATTGTGGGGACACAATATTTTGGCGATTTTTAAATGTTGGTCAGCCAAAACAAACAATTTAAAGAAGTCACTTATGGCTTAAGAAAATAGTAATAAGCCTTTTTCACTATTTTTGACATTTTCAGTCACAAAACCGATAATAACATTGTCAGTTGCAGCCCAAGTCTAGTGTTTTGAAATCACGGTACTCACTGTATTGTCCAATATCTCTAGGTTTTCCCTTCCTCTAGAGCACACGATGTCATAATGAAAGCCACTGACAGAAGAGCAGAAGCCAGCATAAACATGGCCGCCACCTTTGACCTTATCCTGTCGCACATGTCAACCGCTACACGTTTTCAAATGTCCAAAACGCTTAGTGCCTGACCCTAAAGCTAATGCTACAGCAAACTAATGGCTGACCTGAAAGAAAACATAGTGAAAGAGTGTCTGTGTAGTTTATAGAGGGTATCAATGCTTCAAATCCTCTGCTGTGTCCTGGAAACTAATACTCCAGGCTGGGGCTGATCCTGATGAA